AAGACTACCATATTAGTCTGCGCTAGCGCACTTTTCCCACGCTTTATCATATTTCATATGTTGATGGTACGGTTGAGCCGGGGCCCGAAGGAACACACCATGTCGGCCACCTTCAGGCAAAGACATTTAGGCAACCCCCCAAATATAAATGTTAAATAGTTAAAATAGATAAATCACCACCCGATTTCGGTATTTAAGTATTTTTAATTATTTGGCACCTCAGAATTAATCAAAATACATAAATCATTAAATCAACTCTATTCATATAGCCTTTAGGACAGAACCCCGGGAATTAAAGTAAATAAAACAGCACCCGGTTTAATTGTTTCAATAATTTCAAAAATCCTAGCTTCCCAGAGATACGTAAAACAATTTAAACAATTAAGTCACTTCGATTTACTTATTTTGAAGTCCGGAAATCACGACCTCTTTGCACTTGGTAGTGGTGTAATGAGTCCTGGGCTAGTGCGCGTAGGCTGTTTTGCATGTGTGTTTCACTTATAGAATGCTAACGGTATTTGGCTCAAGGCATGATCAGGAAAAGAGGAGTTCTAACTATCGTGAAGGAGGAAGCCGACGACACTGACACAGGGGCTGCTGAACCTGGAGTCAGTGGCGTAGCCGAGCACGCAGAGCTCGAGGTGGACCACGAGGCAGTTGAAGGCGAAGGCGCGACTGTGCCGATCGAGGTTGACGAGGAGGCCACTGTACATAGCTCACCCAAGGAAGTGGTAGCTGTACATAGTCCTGCGTAACCCTGACATTCATCACAAGTAGCAATGACGTCTGTTTTTGCTTCAATTGTAGTTTGTAGGTATTCAGCTATTTTTGACGTTTCTAGTTTACTAAAGTGAAATTTGGTTTAATGGGTTTTCAATCTGTACAACACTTCTAACTACTACCACTGTTTGTCATTGCTTAGCAGAGATGGTGGAGAGGTGTGTTTTGGTTATGGCTGTCAGTCTCACTGACTATTGCCGTTTCGGGTCATAAATGTGGTATTTGATTATTACACTGCGCACTATTAAAATGTGATGTGTAAATCAAATAGAATATTGTGAGTGAATGACTGTATGAATGTTGTTTACTTGGTTGCATCTAGTTACATAGCAAAGAACAGGTGTTTGGTTTTAGCAGGGGATTAAAAATGGCTTAGGGCATTTTAGCTATGCATAAAGGTAAGGTGGTAGTGGTATAACTATAACAGGATAGAGGGGAGAACTGATCGATAGAGCGTGCCGTTTCATCAAAGCCCGTTTGCGTTCAAACCAGCATGGCAAAGCCTCCTCCAAGCAGCTCATTGCTCAGTTTCGCAGAGCCCAATATGAGTATGTTAGTATATTCGCACCGCAACGAAGACTTTTGGATTTGTGCAGGTGTCGTTTTGGGTGTTTTTGTGGGTGGGCGCTCTCAAGCTCAGTAGGACTTTGACATTGATACTCCCGCTGGGTCAGCAGTACGCCAGGAGAAAAGATCACAAATCTTGGCTTCATATCCCATGGCCCTGATGCGAGCTCAGGGCTATCATCTTCTACCGTAGGACTTAGGCAACGCTATGCTCTCTTTGGAGCGTCAGATGTTCCTGTTAAGGCCAGTTCCGGAGCCTCAAATGTCGCGAAGGCGCGGGTTTCGTTTTTCGATGTTTTTCGCACAGCAGTTGACTTTGCACTGGGGAGAGGTACTTTGGGTCCAAGAGGTGCTCTCGAGTTCCACCCTGGTCAGGGGTTGGAAGTGGCCACGGCCCTGGATGAATTGAGATTGACGTGGATGTAACTGCATTCAAGTCTTTCTCAAGGTTGGCTAATGTCAGTTTCGGTTCAAAGAGCTCTGGAAGATCTTCGAGTGGTAAGTGCCGGCCTCAGGCAAGAATCATTTGCTTTGTTCGACAATAGGCCAGTAGGCAATAGGATGCATTATTTTGTCCTGGCGAGGTTTGGAAGTGCTTCCGACAGTGCCACGGCGGCACCTCCCACTTCTTGATGCGCAGGTGTCGGGCTTTCTGGAAGCTTCGCATCTCGCATTGTGCACATACATGCGGACACATGCGATCTCACAATCCCAGACAAGTACATTGCTGAAGGCCATTCGGGTGGTGCAAGGGCTTCAGCAACTATGTCGCGGGATACTACTAGCGGCATATGCCCGGTGCCTACTCGGCCTAGTAACTCAATAACAGGCCGTTAGTTGAAGCAGTTTGGGACAGCAGATGCGCAACACGATCCTGGAAGCAGAGGCGAGCTTCTCTGACTTGCACTGTACAGCAATGGCGGCCGCCTGAACGAACTTTCGCCACGTCCTAAATGTACTCATGGCTGAGAGCTGAAGGCAAAGATCAGGAAAGAAGTCCTGAGCCATTTGGCTGATGCAGAGGCACATCGGCAGTGGCAAGCATCTCGTATCAAGGCAACTTCTCGAGCAAGCCAGTCGCCAGGCTTGCCTGGTGGAAAAGGCTACAGTTTCTGGCCAACAGCTTCGGACGCTTCAATTTGCTGAAGAGCCCAGCCCTCTGACTTTCAGCATGTGGCGGCACCCATCGGATGTTGACCTGAATTTCTGCAAGGTTTGAGGATCTCGAGGCCGACTCCTAATGCTCGCTGCTGTTCCGTCACAAAGTCTCTGCTCTGACTTGCAGCTCTTCATCAAGCTGGCAGCCAATGCAGATGTCAAGCGCGGCTTGCCGGACAAGCTGACCGTTCGAGTACGTACTTCTCGTGTGGCATACATATTTTCGACGATCCGGCAGAACAGTTCTTGCACTCGCGCAGAGTGTGGTGGACAATGCCTGTGAGGTCTGGATGAGCAGATGGCGGCGTCAGAGAAGTTCAGGCCACATGCTTTCGTCTACTGCCCGAGGCTCATGGATTTCTGGGACTCCTCTTGTGACACGTTTAAGCTATTCAAGGTTTGCAGCAGCCGCGCCTGCATCCTCTGTTCTTTCGACTGCTGCGCCTTTTCCCACCATCAAGCGAGGCGCTGGAGGCGGAAAAAAAATCCATCAAGCGAGGCATCGTGAGATAGCGCGTAAGACCGCGCGCACTGCAAGGAGCTGCTCTCTCCGTACCCGGAGCTGCGATGGACTCTTGAGTTGAGCGGACTTGCAGAGGCCGAACCGCTTTCGCTCTTGCCGTCTATGCCCGGTCCACTTCCGAAGGCATCGAAGAGCCGCTGGCCTGTGGCGGCTCATTCGGCCCGTGGCTTTGCACCGGTCTGCCTTCACTGCTCTGTGAAGTCGTGACCTAGGTGAAGCAGATGGCCGAAAAGGCTGCTGCGAACGAGAGGACTGACGAAATTCCACACGCCGGTGCAGTGGACCTCTTTCATTTTATGAACACCAGGCTAGATGCGACCAGACGGAAGGTGATGGCAGTCCCGGCCTTCCACAAGTTTGCAGGGACCACACTGCGTCCTCGGCTAGTTCTGTGGCTTTCTCCGAGGCTGTAGCTTCCATAGCGGCTGCTGCCACACAGATGCAGGTACTGTCAGAACTGTTATATCTTCCATTTCCGGTGGTGAAGATGCAGTTTTCCGGCACAAGACTTGAGCAAGGAGACCCCGGCCGCCCTCGCCGCCTTCAGACACGATGCTCTGGGGCAGACCTGCAGTTGAAGCATGCAAAAAGAGATATGCTCCGAATTTGCTTGGAGCACTGATTCACGACGCCCGTGGCCAAGCTGAAGTCGGGGTGTGCTGAATGCTGAGCTGCGTCGGCGAACGTCAAAGTAATCGAGGGGAGGGAGGGGGTCGATCCCGGCGAAGGGGCAGGACAGGGGAGAGAAGCGTGGGGGCCGCGATGGGCCGCGAGGCTACGGGGTCTCAGGCTAACCTGGCATGCAGAACAAGCGCGCAAGGATGCGCGCTTGCAGAAGGGGGAAAGCAGCGATGTTCTCGCCCGAGCATGTAGACGCAAGTCAGCATGTTGCATGTTCAGTTCTGTATTCTACGCAGGCGTTTGCACATCGGTAGTTACAGGTGATCAGTATTGTTGAAGATCAGAGCCAGTTAGATTCAGCATAGCATCTGCATTTTCAGTGCAGGTTTCGACTGCACTTACGAAGCTGCCCATGGCATTCAAGCGATCTTGACTCTCCGCGTGCTTTTCCGAGCCAGAGTTGACGTCGGAAGCCCTTTGGCTCAAATTGACACGGAACTCCGTGCGATTGCAGGCTGGGGAGAGGAGTCAAAAAAAATTTGAAAAGGATCAAAAAAAAAATTACAAAGGATCAAGAAAAAATTTAAAAAGGATCAAAAACAAATTTACGACTTACAAGGCAATTTGTTGCTTTCCTGGCTTAGTGGCTTCCGGCTTCTTGGTTTCTCGGCTTCCTAGCTTTTCGGCTTCCCAGCTTGTTGGCTTCTCGGCTTCCCAGCTTGTCGGCTTCGC